CCCCAAAAACCCCAAAACCCCAAAACCCCAAAACCCCAATTGAAAGATAGTCGATAACTAAAAATGAATGGAAAAAAAGAATAAATTACCGTTATTATAATATTTGTTAACTTAGTTAGAATAAAATGGACTAAGATAAATACTAGTCGGATACCAAGCTTATGAAGGGCTAGGATCACACCGATGAAGGTCATTCTAAACCACTTCCAAGGAAAAGTTAAAACTAAATCTATAACATTCAAGGTTTGGTGGACAAAGCATTGGAAAAGTAATTAAATTATTTAACAAAATTTATTAGCCAAAAGCCTACAGCATCCTAAATTTTGGGTCTAGATGGTGGAAATGTAAAAAAGGTGTCTCCTGAGAATAATATTGACTAACATTTAAATGAGTTAGAAGGAGATATCAGTGAAGATGAAGGCTCTAAAGGGTTAGAGGATGTGAGAATGAGTAATTTTGCTTACAGTCAAACCAAAATTTCTGAATACATTTCGTTCTATTTCGCAATGCTTGGTGTTGGCTGTCATATCGTTGCAAATGAAATTTATGCTTTCAATAATCTTAATGATGTCAACAAAACACATATTGTTACAATGATAACTATTGGAAATGTTTCTACATTCTTTTTAAGTAAGACAATTATCAATTGTTTATAAATCTTTAGTCATGTCTACAATTGCAGGATATTTACTGTACGTGAGATGGAAAATAACTAAAAATTACTATACAAAAATGGATAACGTAATAAACACAGGACTCTGGAAGGAATTAGTTTTCTAATGCATGCTGACATTCATCTAAATGTATCCTTCACTTTACGGAGAAACTTATTTAGAAGAATACAATGTAAATACTACTAGCGTTATTTTTATTACGAACGACATATTGCTTTGCTTCATGATATTTGCAAGATTCCATTATCTTTTAGAGACAATACTTTAGATATCATTCTTCACAGACCCAAGATCGCAAAGAGTCTGCCAGATTTATGGTGCCGATGCTGATAATTTATATGCAATTAAAGCTATTATGGTTAATGACTCTTGGATTGTAGTGTTAATTAGTACATTTATATCACTTATTATGTTCTCTTATCAGCTTAGATTATTTGAAAGATTTACGAACTCTCATTTCATTCATATTACCTCCTGTATGTGGAACATGTTCATTACTATGACGACTGTTGGGTATGGAGATATTTATGCATTTTCACATCTGGGTAGATTTATTGCAATAGTTGCAGCATTCTGGGGTGTTTTCTTAAATTCTCTTTTCATTCTTTCACTCACTAATTCGCTTAACCTTAACTCTTCAGAATAGAAAGCATATAATTTACTACAAAGGCTAATCCAAAAAGATACAATGAGAAAGTAGGCAGTAGATATGCTCTCCTTAGCATTCAAGATTAAAAAAATCAGAGATAGGAATCCAAATCCAAATATTAACGAGATAAATTAGTTATAGCGTTGCTACAAGAAATGTTCTGATGAATTCAATCGAATTAGAAAAAGTCTGAGAAACACCGTTGATTTCAATGCTGATATGGATAGTATCAAAATGGCTGTAGATCAGATCGACTAGGGTATCTCTGAGATAAGGTAATCCATTCCAAAAGCTTATCAACATTTACTTTTTGATCCTAAAAAACTTAGTGATATAGAGACTAAAAATTGAGTTTATATAAGTTTTATGTATATTTATATAAAATTATCACTAAAAAGTAAACTTTATTTTTCTCTTGGGGTTTTGGGGTTTTGGGGTTTTGGGG